CGCCTAAAGGGACGTAGTACCTTTTCGGTAGGACCCGACGTCGCACAGCGGCTGCGCAGAGAAGGAGAAGCAGCGGGCAGCAAGCACCTGCTGCTGCTGGCTTGACAACTTGCTTCAGCGTTGATGGGCGTCCCCGGTCGGCGGGTCAAGCAAGCAGACCAGGCCACCTTTGACGAGGTCGAGAAGAAGCAGGCAGGCAGGCGGTGGCAGACGGCGGAGCTGGGTCTGGCCTGGCCTGGCCTGGCCTGACGGTCGATGGGGTGCATCGCCGGGCGACCCACCCGCTCGGGCCCACGCACGCGCCTCGCTGCTGGCTCTTTCCTTCTTGAGCCCTGGGTCGGTCGTGCCCACGACCCCTTTGCGGCCGAGCGTCGAGCCGCCAGCCCGCGAGCCGGCCAGCCTGCCTGCCCCCTCGCTCGGTCTTCCATCTCAAGCGCTCCCGCTTCTCTCCTGCTGTTTGCGTTCGCAAGCTCTGGCTTGACGAGACGATATCGATCGATCCGCAGAGCAGCATGGACCGTGAATCACCCCTTGTCAGCATGTCTATCGCATCGCTGGCTCCACCGTCGAGCCTCGACCTGGCCCGTCGTGAAAGACGCGAGCAGGCTAGGCCAGGCTTCCATCCGTCCATCCATCGTTGCACCCGTCGACCGTGCAGCGCCGTCGTTTGGTGGATGGACGGACGGACGGACGGACGGACGGGTCGACGACGCCGGATGGATACGACGAGCAAGCTAAGGTCGACGAGGTGGCCGGCTGATTGGCGCCTGCATGCATGCAGGCGCAGGCACGTCTCGATGTGACTTCTCGATGCGAGGAGGCGGGCGAGCGCGGGCGGGCGGGAGCCCCCCTTGGCCTGCTGCTCTGCTGGCAGGCAGACCACTGTACGCGACGCGCCGCCTAAGCAGCTCGCGTTCCAAACCCTTGTCCGGGCTCGCCTGGCCTGGCCCAGTCCGGCCTAGCCTGGCCTGGCCTGGCCTAGCCGGCCTGCCCTCGTCGACCTCGACCTCGGCACCCGACCGCCCGACCGACGCAGGCCGCTCTGCCAGGCGCCTCTTGATCGCGAATGCGGGCATCAATTTGCTCGTGGTGCGTCTTGACGTCGCTTCCAGCAGGCGACCAAGCGACCAGGCCACTCAACCAGGCCAAGCCAAGGCAGGATCGATGCTGACACCTTGCGGCCTAGACATTTCCTTCTCGCCTGGCCTGGCCTGGCCTGGCCTGGCCTCGACGTCGTCCTCGCTGGAATTGCCAGGTCGAACCGTCAGGCCTGGGAAAGAGCAGCGCCTGGTGCTTGGCTGACTGGCCGGCTGGCTGACTTTCCGTTCCTTTCTTTCCCAGCTCGGTCGGTGGGTCGGTGGGTTGATCATGAACCCAGCCAGCCATCTCGAGTTGGGCCAGCTCCGAGTCCGAGCCAGGGGAGGGCAAGGGGCCATCCGACGAGGGCAAGCAAGGGTAGGAGGGCGAGGGCGGTTGATCCAAAATTCTACCTGCAGCCTCACGCGGGAGCGGACCTCCTTGCATGCAGCCGGGCATGGCGAGCTCGCGTTCGTTGCGCGTGTGATTTTAGGAGGTCGGCCAGAAAGGGCTGGGCTCGCGCGTCGTGTAGAGTGCCTGGCCTCCTCGAGGAAGTCACAGAAGACGAGGCGGGAGTAATAATGCCGCCTGCATCCGCACGCCCGCACGCCCGCACTCACGCACGCATTCAACGGTCGGTGAGAGGCCGACGGACGGCTTCATCCGCCCATGCCGATGCCTTCCTCGACATCTTCGACGACAGTCGGTTCGGTTCCGCAGCGAAGGATGCAGATGGGCAGGCAGGGAGGCAGGCGGATGGGCCGGAAGATAGGCGCCGGCAGGCAGGAAGGGAGGCATCGAGACGATATACACCGCCGCACACGCTTCGGGACTCACCGACGCTCTTCGTCGACATCGACGGCCTCGGCCTGAACCGACACCTCTTGCGCCGCACGTCGTTTTCCTTGGCTGGCAGCAGAGCAGACTGAGCCCGGGGCCCAGGGGAGCAGCGAGGGGATAGAGGTGCATCACCCCCCTCCCCCCCGACCTGGCCTACTCGACGCGAGCAGAGCAGAGCCGAGCCGGGGGGGAGGGACAGAAAGCAAAGAGACAGTGTTGTACGGTCGGGATATAGAATACATTCCACGGCAACAAACGGCGCTCGTCGTCGAGTCGAGGTGCTTTGGGTCCAGATGAGGGCGACGACCGCCGGACAACCATGGACAAAGGAAGAAAACGGTACTACTAGTGACGGTCTAGACGAGAGCTGATCGTCCGAACGCAGGGGACGAGAAAGGAGAATACGGGGTAGCGGAGCGGGATGGGCGATCCAGGCTCGCCGCAGCCGCTGTCGCCGCCGCCTACTGGATGTGCTCGACGGCGTCTTGGATCTCGCCGAGCTGCTTGTTCCTCTTGTGCGCTCCCTGCAGCTCCCTCTCGAGCCGCCGCATCTGCTCGGTGAGCTCCGATACGCGCTCCTTTGCGCCCTGGCGCTCGCGCTTGACGCGCTCCTCGGCCGCCTTGACGCGCAGCTCGAGCTCCTTGATCCGCGCCGCCCACTTGCCCTCGCCCTCGCCGTACTTGATCTTGGCCTCGGCCAGCCGCTCCTCGGCCTGCGTCGCCTGGTTCTGCGCGGCGTGCAGCCGCCGCTCGGCATTGTTGGCCCGCGTCGTGAGCGCAGTCAGCTTCGAGTTGTCGCCCGGCGTCGACAGCGAGGCGCGCGTCCGCAGCGACGACAGCTGCTGCTGCAGCTCGGCATTCGTCGCCTTGACCGCGTCGACCTCGCTCTGCTTGGACACCACACGCTGCCGCCACTGCAGCTGCTTGTCCGTCGCATTCTTGATCGACACCTCGAACCGGTCAATCTGCCTGAATCGAGAGTCCTGCTGCCGCTTCAGAGCGCTGCGGGGGTGGTGGAAGGCGACAGAGCAACCGAGCGACCGAGGAGAGCCCGTCGTGTCTTTCGTCAGTGCCTGTTATTCCTCGACAGACGTTCCGATCGTATCGCACCACGCCACGCCACGCCACGCCACGCGACTCACGTAAACTTCTCCATCAGCTTGCCTTCGAGGTCCTTGGCGCGCTGCTCAAAGCTGAGCTGGATGTCGGAGATCTTGCGCAGCCGCGCAATGAGGCTGTTGTGGAACACCTCAAAGTTGGTAAAGGGCTTGACGTCGGCCTCCTTCTTGCGCTGCAAGCAGGGTGGGATGGGCAAGGACATGGCAGGCAGAGTCGTGCAGATCACGGTCAGATAGAGTCGGGCAGATCGAGCGCCGCCCTCCGCCTACTCACCGGTGTCGAGGTGCTCTCGCTGCCGACGAGGATCTTGCCCATGTACTGGTAGATGGTGAGGAGCAGCGTGTTGCGCTCCGTCAGGGCGTTTTTGGTGTCCTGCTCCGACTGCAGCGTGGCGCGCTCGCCGTCGTTGAGCTCGCGCTCCAGCTCCTCGACGCGGGCGCGCGCGGCGTCGAGCTCCTTGCGCTCGTCGGCCAGCGTGCGCTGCTGCGCCTCGAAGCGCTCGTTGAGGCCCATCCGCCCCTGCGTCTCCGAGGCCAGCTTTCCCGCCAGCTCTCGCTGCTCGTCTTGCAGCCGGGCCAGCGCGTCCTCCTTCTCGCGCAGCGCGTCGTCCTTGCGGTCGATCTCCTTGCGCGCCCGCTCGAGGTCCGCCTCGCACCGCGCCAGGTCGCGCTTGAGCCGGTCGATCTCGAGCTCGAGCGAGTACTTGTCGTTGGCCTGGCTCTGTCCCATGCGGAAGCTCTCGTTTTCCTTGGCCCGCAGCGCATCCTGGAGGTTCTGGACGTCTTGTTTGCTCGTCGCCAGGTCCCTTTCGAGCTGGCCCAGCTCCTGCTCGAGCGACGCCAGGTTCTCCTCCTTTTCGTCGATGATGCGGTTGAGGCGCTCCTCGGCCGAGTCGAGCTTGCGCTCCCACTCGGCGTTGGCATCGTCGAGCGCCCTCTCCTCGGCCTTGAGGTCCTCGACGACGTCGGAGATCTTGGAGTCGAGCTTGTGGACGAGCTCCTCGAGGCGCGCCTTTTCGTTGGTCAGCTCCTCGACGTCCCTGGCGTAGGCGTCGGCCTCGTCGCGCGCCGCGTCGACCTCGTTGAGCGCCGCCTCGAGCTGGCTCTGCGCCTCGCTCAGCTCGAGCCCGCTGTTGGCCAGCTTCTCCTTGAGCACGCCCGCGTGCCGGTCGTGCTTCTCGTTGGCCTGCTGAAGCGCGTCCTCGACCTTGACGAGCTCCTCGTCCAGCCGCTTGATCTCTTCGCCGCGCGCCTCGAGCCCCTCCTCGAGGGCCATGTTGCGGTTGGACAGCTGATTGGCGACAAGTCAAAGCCGAGAGCGCGGTCGACGATCAGCGATGCCGCACGCGCGCGCATGCACGCCTCAATCCGGTCGCCGGGCCACTCACCTCCTGCATCTCTTTGTTGGTCTCGGCGAGTTCGGCGTCCTTGGTCTCGAGCTCCTTGGCAGCGAGGTCGAGCTCAGCCTTGAAGGTATCCGCCTCTTCCCGGTAGACCTGTAGCTGGCGATCGAGCTCGTCGGCCTCGGCCTCGACGCCTTCGATTTGCTGCGCGTTACGATCAGGCGGGCAGGGACGCGTTATTCTCGGGGTCAGTTGACATGCCAGCCAGGTCCACGCCGGTCGCTGCGGGGGCGGAGCGCGCCGTACAGGTTCTCGTCGACTCACAGCTTTCTGCTCGTCAAGGAGCGTCTCGGCCTGGCGCAGCTCGTACTCGAGGTCGGCGACCTTGGCGACCTGCTCTTGCAGCTCCTGCTCGAGCTTCTCGGACTCGGCCTCTTTTTCGTCGATCTGCAGCTGGGCGGCGGTGAGCGAGTCGCGCAGCTTGTCGATTTGCTGGCGATGCGTCGAGGAGGGGGGATAGGGCGGGCGCCCAAAGGCAGCAACGATGGCCCTTTCCGTCAGGTCCCCGTCTCTGGCTACTCGTACCGGTCCGTCGGGCTGCACTCACCTCCTGATAGCGTTCGGCGGCCATCTGCTCGGCCTCTTGGAAGCGGATCAGGTCGTCCTCCTGTGTCATGTTGGCATGTTCGAGGCTCTGCTTTGCCACCTCGAGTTCGCGCTGCAGCGCCTCCTCCGACGAGCGCAGCTCGTAGACCTCGTCCTTGTGCGCCTCGATCTCGGCGTGCAGCTGCGCCTGCCGCTCCTGCATCTTTTCATTCTGCGCCCGCTGCGCCGTCAGCTGCTGCTCGAGCTCGTCAATTTCGCGGTGGAAGCCCCGCTCCCGCTGCGAGGCGCGGCTGTCGTCGGCGCCGCCACCCGCGCCGCCCGACTGGCCGCGCAGCCGCTCCAGCTCGGCCCGCATCGCGTCGGCCTCTTCGTATGCGGCGTCCCGCTCGCGCCGCAGCTCGTACTTCTCGTCGGCGTGGTCCTCCTTGAGCGCATCGAGCTCGTCCCTCAGCCGCGCGGCCTCCCCGCCGCCGCCGCCGCCGCCGCCACCGCCCATGCCCCTGCTGGCGGATGCGTCGCCGTGAGTGTGATCGCCGCGTCGCTTGATAAAGTCGAGCTCCTCTTCGGCTCGGATGCGGTCGCGCCTCTCGTCCTCGGCCCTCGTGTTGGCCGCGCGCAGCTGCGCCTCGAGCTCGGCGATCTGCTGCTCGACCTGCACCGGGTCGCGGCCGTTCCACGCTTGCTGCTCCTTGTGGAGCAGCTTGATGGCGCGGTCCTGCTGCTTGAGCATGGCCTGCTGGGCGATCATCTTGTTGGTGTAGGCCAGCTTCTCCTTTTTGAGCACAATGAGCTCGGCCAGGCGGTCGTCGAGCGAGACCTTTTCGCGGAGCAGGTCGACGACAATCTTGAGCTCGTCGCGCTCCTGGGTGAGGCCGTTGATCTTTTCCTGGGCCGACTTCATCGAGACTCCCGCGGCCGACCTCCTACGCATGGCGCGCGAGCCCCACTGGCCCGAGTCGTTGTTGTTGTTGTTGTTGCTGTTGTGGGGCGAGGCGACCATCGAGTCGATGCCCTCGGACAGATCGGCCTGCATCTTTCGTAGCTCGGCCTCGCCGCTGGCCTCGAGGCTGTCTTCGACGTCATCGAGCGTGTCGTCGTCGGCGATCCTGACGCCGTACCTCCGCCTCGGATCCTCTTTGCGCTGCGTCGATGGGGGTTCCCTGGCGCTGACCGCGTTGCGCGAGGGTCCGGCGGCGCCGGCGGCCGACACGCGGGGCTGGGCGGGTGTCTGCAGCGCCGCATCGTCGCCGGCCGCTCGGGCTGATGGGTCGGGCAGGTCGGACGCTCCGGCGGTAGCCCTGCGTGCCAGGCTGGGCTTCCTCCTCTGGGTGACGTGGGAGAGGGCAGGGGCAGGTGGTAGATTGAGCTGGATGCTGGGTTCGGTGTCGAGGCCGGTGAGGTCGCCCTTTGGGTTGGGCGGCGGAAAGGTGCTCTGGTCGGTGGTCGAGTCGTAGGCCGACGTCGCATCGTAGCCGGCGAGGGCGACGGGGCGATTCGCCATGGTCCCTCGTGCCCCGGGCAGTGAAGATGAAACGTGTTTCCGGATGGGTTATGTGGCAGATGTCGGGGTCAGAGGCAGTGGTTCATGGTGGCAGGAAGGAGTTACGGATGCTCAAGGTGGTGCGGCCATTCGCCGCAGCTGCTCTGGCCTGGAGTCGCCGATGCGCGTGCTTCGGTGTGGTATGCCGGCGACTGCGATGAGAGCGAGTCCCGTTGAAGGCGGTGACGGTTGTTTCGTATGCCTGCGATGATGAGCAGGCTAGAGAGAGCAAGAAAGTTTTGGCGGGGCGAGGTTGATGGTGGTCGGTGGCCAGCCGACGATGCGATGGACGACTGTAGTCTGGGACCGAGGGGCGGCAGGTCAGGGTCCTCTAGCCTGCCCTTTGGATAGGCTAGGCTGTTTGCCTCCACGCGCGCGCGCGCCTGCACAGCACCGCACCGCACAGCTCAAGAGTCCAAAACTGGCAGCACGCCCACGGATAAGGGTACGGCGACCCAGAGCAACACCTCGTCCTGGCAGTGCGCGCACGTGATCTGCCATGCCCGGGGCGGCTTGCTAGCCGTTCTTCCCCCATGCCACCCTCGGGCGGATCGAGTTGGGGAAGCGCAGACGACACAGGAATAGATCGATCAGCGTGGATGCGGATGCAGATGCGGGATGCTAGGCGCGCCGCGGCGCCCTCTATTCTGTTTGTACACGTTTTGCGGCGAGCGAGGGAAATAAGACAGAGCGCGACGACGAGGCGCACTCGATGACGAGAGCGCCACAGGCCTCGGCTGGACGTCGGGCATCCAGCCTACCGGCACTACGAGCTCAGCAGCAGCTGGGACGTCTCGAGGCAGAGGTTGACCTCGTCGGCCATGGGGATAACCCTGTCGCGCCAGCGACGCAGCGGCACGGCGGAGAGAGGGAGAAGGAGAGAGGGAGGAGGGGAGAAGGAGGGAGAGGGGCATCGGCAGGAGGAACCAGGTCAGCACCTCATCCTCTTCGGACCTCGTCCGCCCCCTGGTGTACTCACGCTTCCCAGTGCTTGCCCAGGTCGATGAGCGTGTCGCGCGCCTCCCGCACGCGCGTCCAGATGCCGCGCAGCTGCGCCTGACGCATTGGGTCCGAAGACGCGTCCATACCGTAGCCGCCCAACGAGCTGCCGTCGCCGCCATCGCTGCTGCCGACGGCGCCTGCATCGAGCGCGTGGGCGGACCTGCCAGACTGCATCAGCTCATGGCTGTAGCCGCCGCCGGCCGGGCTGTCGCGGCTGCCTTGGAAACCGCCGTCATCGAGCTCCATGCCAGCGCCATCGCCGTTGCCCTCGACATTGTCGTCGTCGCCCTCGTCGCCCTCGGAACCGTCGACGCTGCCGAAGCCGCCGTGGACCGCCAGCGCCTGCATCAGAAGCACAAAGCTGATCAGCACAAAGCTGCAGCAGTTGAACGGGTTCGGGTTGACCACCTTGCCGTGCCGGTTCTTGGCGATGTCGAGCAGCTTCTTGCTCGCATGCACGCAGCGCTGCAGGCTCAGCCGCGGCAGGAACGGGCCCCGCGCGTACAGATCCTGCTGCACAGGCTGGGCCACCTGCGGCGCCGGCGACGAGCCCCAGCTGACGCTCGACGAGCTGCCAGACGTACCGCCGCTCGGCCCGTACGTCTGGCTAAGGCCCGGAGGGATCCCGTGGGGGGCTTCGGCCGCCGCCATATCCGCCAGCTCGTCGTAGAAGGCGTTGGGCATCGGCTCACGGCAGACGCCGCCCGAGGCGCCGGCGTCGTTGTTGTCGTTGATCGAGTTGAGGAAGCACAACTTCCGCTCGAAGAGCGAAGCGCCCTGGAATGCCTGGCCAATGTGCAGCGTCAGCGACGACGTGTAGAGCTGCACGGCGGCCGCCGTCCTCAGCGAGTCTTCCAGCTCGGGCTCGACGGAGCCGAGGTCATCCGAGGCCGGTGGCTGCTTTGCCGTGCCTAGCACGCCGCCGCGCTTCTCGAGGGTGCGGATCTGGTCCTGCAGGAACGCGTCGATCTCCTGCATGCTGTCGAGGATCTCCTGCCGAGAGGCGTGCGAGGGCAGCGTCGAAAACGTGCTGGGCACCTCTTCACCGCTGCCGTCCGACTCGGAGCGGTTCGACGCCAGCCGGCCAAAGCCAAACGGAGACTGGCCCGCCGAAACGCTGCCGGCACCTTCCGGCGAGAAGCCGGCCCTCGGAGAGGTCGAGGCGCCGCGCGACGAGCCCGGGCGGTAGGGCGGCTCCTCGCCCTGCGAGCCGCTCGACTGCGCCAGGGCGAGCACGCGGTCCTGGACCAGCAGCAGCGCCTGCAGCGACGAGATGTTGGACGTCCAGGCCGAGGGGTCCTGACCCTGCGGCACCTCGCTGCGGACGCGCGGGTCGTCGGCGCGGATCGTGGGGATCCGACCGGTGTTGTAGGCCGACCAGAGGACGAGGCTCCACACCGTCCACCAGCAGCGCTTGCGCATCTCGTAGATGGCGGCGGCGTCGACGCCGAGATTGCGGAGCGAGTGGGTGCCGGCCGACGACGTCGAGGCAAAGCTGCTGGGCGCCGACCTCGCCGCGTCGGCGTCCGAGGCGGAAGGGTGCTTGAGCTTGTGGAGGCCCTGCGACATGGCCAGGCCGAGCGCCTGGTCGGCCTTGAGCCTCGACTTGATGGCGTGACCGGTGCCGTACTCGTAGACGACCATGACGCAGAGCGTCTGGATGAGCTCGAGGTACTTTTCGCCGCTCGAGTCCGAGTCGGCCTGCTCGAGCAGGCGGTCGATGGCCTCGTTGGCCTTGCGCTCCATCATCGTGGTACGCTCCTTGAGGTGCTGGCGCTTCTCCTCGGTGCCGAAGCTGAGGCCGGCGCCGCCGAGGTGGTGGAAGGCGCCGATCGGCTGCTCCTCGTTGCGAAGGAGCGGCAGCACGCACTGGAGCGCCAGGATAAACGACGAGTCCGGCTGCATGGCCGACGACAGGATGTCAATGTACCGCGGGCCGGGGATGACGGGCAGGAAGCGGTAGAGGTACTTGTAGTAGTCGATGAGCAGCGATCTGACGCCCACCGACTCCTCGGGCAGAGGCTGGGAGGATCGCACGGACGCGGCCGGCTGCGGTGCCCGTGTCGCGTTCTGCGGGGCGGCAGGCTGGCTGTAGGACCACGGCGCCGGCTTGTCGCTGAAGCCCGCGTTCTGCGCCTGGCTGGCGATGGCGGATCGATCTCCCGATTGCAGGCCGCTGAGGAAGTCCGCCCCTTGCCAGGTGGGCGCCAGGGTCACGTTCTGTCCAGCCGACGGCCCGACGTCAAACGCGTTCTGGCCGCTGGCGAAGCCGGACGTCGCTTGCGAGAAGCCAGACTGGTCTCCAAACATGCCTTGTCCCGCCTGGCTCTGCTGGGACTGATTGGGCTGCTGTCGTTGCTGCTGCTGTTGCGCCTGGTTCGGGACCTGGGCATGTTGCTGGAACGACTGCTGCGGTGGCAGATCGAAGGATGGCTGCTGCAGCTGCTGCCCCTGCTGTTGAGACTGCAGCATCTGCGGGGGCTGCGACCCGGGCTGGAGCGGGAACTGGGCAGTCTGGCTGAAGTTCGACGGCGGTTGAAACTGGGGAGGCGAGAGAGCGCCGCTGAAGAAGGGCACGTCGGACTGATAGCCGGGTTCGTTGACGGTGCCAGACATGCCTCCGGGGCGACGGAAGGCGTAGGGCATGTCGGTAAGGTGGAAGAGCCTGCTGAGGTGGGACTGGACCTCTACAGTGGCCAAGGGAGACGCGCCAGGCGGGGCGGTGCCCAAAGACGAGCGCATGGGTCAGCCATTGTTGGGGCCGACATGGGCCGGCGGACACAGCAGCGTCGGTGTCGCGGTCCAGTCGCGAGCCGCGCGCGTACATACCTGCGGTGGGGTCCTGCTTCTGCTTTGGCTTTCCGCCGCGGCGCGACACGGTGTAAACGCAGTCGTCTGTACGTCCGCGGCCGATGCAGGTGCCGCAGGGCTTGTTGCCGTCGCATCTCGACTTTCTGTTTTGGCGGCCGAGCAGTGCAGCAGTAGGGGATGGGCGCGGGATAGGCGACACCGAGAGCCGGATCAGCGGGGAGCGACGGGGCTGTAGGGCCAAGGCGGGGCACAACGGGATGAGCGATGGGCTACGCACCTGGAGCGGCAAAAGGTGCAGGCGCTCTTGACGGGGGCGGCAATGGGGCCCTTTCTATCTCTATCGTCGCCCGGCTTGTGCGAACGCATGGGTCCCGAGCTCGAGTGCTGCGGATGGCTGGTGTACATGGCGCCGGCGTGGGGGAGGACCGTGATTCCGTGCGCCGCTGCCCTGGCGGTAGGATGCCGTGGATGGGAAGAGTGACCGGCAGAGGGGCAGGGGGCCTGTCTATGCGTCTAGCAAACGGCCGAGGGTACTGCTTGTGTGGTGTCTTCTGCCGTCGCCGGCTAGCTGGTAGATCCGAGCCCGGCCAGAGGTATCGGCTCCTGGCACAGCGAAAAGATGCGGGTCGGGTCGAGTCCGAGCCCAAGGGGTGTCGGGACGGCCGTAAGATTAGCTGATACGAGGCGAGGCTGTGCGCGCAGTCGTGTGTGCGAACAGCTGGCCAGGTGGAGATGGCGTGGCTGCCGATGCGAAGTCAATCGTCGAGTCGGTGGTCGGGAATGGATGGATGGATGATGTTCGCGCGTGCGTGTATGTGCGAGGGGCCGATGGTGACGATGGTATTGATGGTGGTGGGCGTGGTGGTGGGTGGTGGAGGGGCTTGGCAGACGAAGACCAGGCAGGCAGAGCGGATCGGATCGGCCCCGCGATGCTCGTGCGTCCGCCAGGTCGAGAAAGCGAGCCTCCAGAGTCAGGCCATGCTGCCAAGTTGGGCGGGGCCGGGCGGACAAAAGGCGTCGACGAGGGCGGATCGTCTCCACCTCGCCAGAGGCTTGGCCTGGCTGCCCTGCCCTGCCCTGCCCTGCCCTGCCCTGCCCTGCCCTGCCCTGCCTGGCCTGCGTGCCCCTGCCCTTGGCCGCCCCTCTGCGCCGCCGAAACGTCAGCCCCGCCCTCGGCTGGCGTGGATGGGCCTGGCTGGCCAAAGCCCCGCCGCACGTCCGCGCGCTGGCCAGAGTGGGCGAAAGACGCAGCGGGGCTTGGCCTCGGCTCACCCGCACGGGAAACATGACGGACTCCTGACTCGCCTCACCCCGCCTCACGACTCAGCGCCAGACCGTAGGTGACACTGTGGTGGCATGGGTATGAATGATATGCCGGCGTGGCCGGGCCCAGTCTGCCCTGCCTCACCGTCCGTCCGTGGTTTGCTCTCCGTGCCGGCACCGCCTGCTGTCCTGTTGAGTGGGACGCTCGCGGCGCGGCCGATGGTGGGCGAGCCCCCCTTGGGAGCGGCAGGGGAAGGCACTCCAGCGGCCACTCGGCGGGCCGCGCCGTATCTATGCCGTCCTCCCCTTGGGCGCGTGTCCCTGATCGCAAGTCAGGCACACATGCGCAGACGTCGCAGATTGGATCAGGCATGCATGGTTCAGGACCGAGCGCAAGCTTCACGCCAGGCCCAAAGAAGAATAAGCAAGCAAGGCCGGGAAGGAGGGGCAAGAAGATCCAAAATCAAAAATTGGCGTGCTGGCCGGGCCTGGACACGCAGGCGCGGCCTGCAGGCACGAACGACGCGCCGCCGAGCAGCGCGGCCCCCACGACGGCGCCCCGACGCCCCGTACAGCCAGCAGGTTGCCCATCGCGGCGGCACTCTGCAGACCCACCGCCCCTGCAGCGAGAGGAAGAGGCTAAGCAGAGCGTCGATCAACCTAGCCTGTCGGGCATGCCGCGGCCACCGGCCCGGAAGGTAGCGAGAGATGCCTGGGCTGTTGCCAACGGCCCCAGACGGGGGAGGGATGGATGGAGGGATGGGTTGTCCAGGGCTGCTGCCAGCTGCCCTGGGGCGGGGAAAGGGGTTTATTTTGTGGTCGGCTGCCAGCCGCCCTTCTAGGGTCGAAGGCCCCTCGGTATCCTAGGTATGGGGGGCGCTGCCAGCGCCCCTGGGGGAGAAGAAGGAAGGAGGGAAAGGGGGGGATGGTAGGATTATTTACCTTGTCATCTGGTCCTTGGGTCGGTCGGGTGCAGATCTTTTTTTTTTCGCGGGCGGGGATGCCAAGGGGGCGAGCCCGTATCGCCGGAAAAAGCACACTCGTTTGGTGCCTCGCAGCTTAGATCCGTGATTTCTCTGCACCTAGCTCCGGGGCAACGGGGCTAGCCAGCGCGAAAAGTTGCGTGCTGGGCGTGTAAAGTCCGGATCCCGTCGGGAAGCCGTAGATTAGCGTGCTCCCTCCGGGGATAACGGTGTTTAGCGACAACGTAGCGTGCTTATCTCGGCGTTACAAATGGGTATGTCCGGGGACGGGGCGTGTAAAGTCCGGATTACCGGAGCTATCTCGGGAGGCACGGAGCTAGCACGGATTTAGCAGCAAAAAACCTTACATCCGGAGCCGTAAAATTTGTGAATCCGGATGTAAGCAGGTTCTGCGGGAAATATCCGGAGGTAAAGACGCGTTCATCCAGGAGCTAGCTCGTAAACTCCGTTGGCCCGGCGATACCGAGAGAAAGCGTAGCGCTTCCGCTGGAGCCCAAGCCTAGACGGAGCTAAGAATCCCGGATCTAAGGGGCGAAGCGTCGCTTTATCAGTACCAAAAGACAGGCCTATCACCGATAGCTCCGTTAGGGCCCAAAAACCACGTCCTCAACCGCAGCGAAAATCGCGTGCGTCCCTAATCTCCGTGGTCTGTCCGCCCGCCCGCCCGACCGCCCGCCCAACGGGCCCCCCCATGGACCAGATGACAAGGTATATAATCCTACCATCCCCCCCTTTCCCTCCTTCCTTCTTCTCTCCCAGGGACGCTGGCAGCGCCCCCCATACCTAGGATACCGAGGGGCCTTCGACCCTAGAAGGGCGGCTGGCAGCCGACCACAAAATAAACCCCTTTCCCTTCCCGCCCCAGGGCAGCTGGCAGCAGCCCAGGGTGGGTACCCGTCGCGTCTTTTTCAGTTGGGAGGCCGGCGCGTCGGTCCCTTCTTGAGGGCAGGCGCGTCGTCGTGCTTTCGCTTTGCGCGGCCGGGCGAGCCAGGTCAGCACCCCCCCCTTTCCCCCCACCCCACCGCGCGTGCAAATCCCTGAGACGGCGCGCCGCCGATGCAGCTCTGGCGCAGTGTGGTGAGGGGGCTACACGGGCACTTGGATGCCGATCCACGAGTTGCGCAGCACCTGCTGGTACCCTAGCCTGGTGAAAAAGGCGCGGGAGACGGCATTGTCCTCCTCGACCATGGCGCAGCACGGCGTCCAGTCAAACGGACCGGCATCGTCGTGGGCGGGCGTCGATGTCGCAGGCTGGGCCACCCCCGCTGCTTCGAGGGCGGCGCGGGCCGCAGCGACGATCTTGGGCTCGAGCCGGGCGACGACGGTGGCGCCGACGCCGCGTCCAAACGCCTTGGAGCGCCGGTACTCGGGCACGACGTTGAGCGAGCCGATCGAGAGGTCTTCGTGCGTGTACGCCCAACCCATGGCCCGGCTCTGCCCCGCGTGGCCGTCGCCACGATGCCGCAGCAGGACCGAGATGTGCACGCGGCTCCGCACCATCTCGATCGGGAACGCCAGCTTGTTGCTCGATCGTACCTGATCGTGTCGGGAGAGGGAAACGTGGCGGTCAGCGCGCGACCGTCGTCAGTAGACTGCACGCCGAGCCGGATGATGGACACCGGCCCAGCAGCCGATACGCACCAGCTCGACGTCGTCCTCGGTGATGGGGCCCTCGTGCCACTCGTCTGGCAGCGCCACCTCTGGAGCGCGGTCGGGCTCGACTCGGCGGAGGAACTGGAAACACGGGTTCTCCCACTGCACACTCCCCCCTCGTCCTCCTGCTGGACCGTCTTGTGCGATGATCTGCCGGCAGAGGTCGACGAGGTAGCGTTCCATGCCCGAAAAGACAATCGACTGCATCTCGACCTTGCCATTGGTCGCCTCGCGCGGTCTCGATGCATCTGCTCCGGAAGGGTCGGCGATGGCGGCCTGGTGGATCGCCCTGGCGTACTGCGGTAGCCACTCTGCAAATATCCAGGTGGCCAGCGCCCTCCTGCGTTGCTGCCACTCGTGCTCCGTCGCCGTAGAGGTGGGCGGTCGAGGGTTGAGCCAGATCTGGATACGCGGGGGCTTGGGCGTGCCTGCTGGCATCTTCCACCGCATGGCCGTGACAATCAGGCCCCACGGACCGTCCGGCTCGTCCGGCTCGTCCTGTCCGGTTGCCGCGTGCGTGCCGTTCGAGACGGCATCGACGAGGACCTCGCGCGGCACGGGCCCGACTGCCGTCACGGCGTGCGCGGACGAGTTGAGGAAGCCGACCAGCGTCCGCCAGCGCGCGGCGTCGTCGACGTCGCGGTCGGCCGCGGGCGGATAGAGCTCCTGGCCGCAGTAGGCCGACAGCAGCGTGTTGCGCGTGTGCAGCGCCGAGGGCAGGTTGTGCGGCCGCGAAAGGTACCGCACCAGCCGCGAAAACGACAGCGACGTGTGCGAGATGACCTGCATCGTGCGACGAGGGCGAGCTCCGAGCGAGCAGGCGATAGGAGGAGTCCAGGAAAAACGAGACGAAATGGGGTCAACGAGAATGAGAAGGAGGATGAGGATGGATAGGAGACAAAGCAAGTGTGAGGGCCCGTCGAAGGGAGCGCCAGGGTCCAGCCCACGTTTGCCGCGGCGGGCGGAAGAGGTTCATCCGTCAGCATGGCTCGGCTTCGGCCGGAAACGAGTGGCCGACTTCCGAGCTCAAATCGCCGGCGGAGGTGGTGACGAGCAAGAGGCACATCGGCACATCGGCACGGCAAGGCAAGGCAAGGCAACGCGATCAGGCACATTTGTTCGACAAGCGGTAATAAGCGGGTGCAGAAGAGAGAAGCCCGACTAGGCTCAGGGCGCCGACAGGCACATCTCCATAAAGGTGTCGTAGTTGACCTGGATGAAGCCGGTCCGTTGCTGCGGACGGCAGTGAGACAAGGCACGACGCCAGGACGGCAGGTCAGGGACGGATCTGGAGAGAGAGGCCGGCATCGTCCACGCGGCTCGGTGCTCACCGTGTCGTGCCTGGCAAAGCTGTCTGTGAGGGTCTTGACGGCCACGCAGCAGCGCAGGAAGCGGTCGAAAGAGATGCCTGCCTGGCCGTTGCGTCCCGGCGCCATGCCGCCTGCGGCACCGCCAGCGGCGCCAGGAGCAGCAGGGTTCGGAGCGGAAGGGGTATTGTCAACTAGGGCGTTCGCGACGGCGGCGGCAAAGGGCAGCGTGAGCACCGGTCGGGCGGCGGGGGAGGGCGTGCAGAACGTCAGTGAGCAAGGCGTCAGAGAGACACAGTGTGCGGCCACCGGATCCCCTTTCCTCGGCCCACCTCGTCGCAGCGGGCGCAGGTGGAAGACGGCGGACAGGCAGAAACAAGTCTTAATGGACAGCGAAACGGGACGGACCAGTGCGCGTTCCCTCTCTCCTCTGCCCGCCTGCCGTCCCGCGTCGATGCCTGTTCCAGGGCCGGCGTGTCCGCTCGCCTGCAACCCCTGCACCCGCGTCGCTGCGCCTGCAGCCGCAGCCCTCGACGCGTCGACCACTCACTGTACTTTTGCGACAGGATGCGAAGCAGGTTGGGGCTGAGGCGGTATCCGAACGAAGAGAGCGCGTTTGCCAGCTCGCCCTGGTCGATGGACCCGGATCGGTCGCTGTCGAAGCGCTGCGGGGCGGGTTCCAGAGCGGAACCCAACGCGAAGGGGGGTGTCAGCGAGCCGTGTGCTGGCCAGGGCTTGAGGACAGCGGCAGCCGGGGGCCCGACTCACTCGGAAGACTTCCTGCCAGTCCTTGATGTACTTCCACAGGCCGGCAAACTGCACAGGCGGAGAGAGAGAGGAGAGACGAGGCACGTCGTCGAGTCAGCTGATGTCGATCTCGCACCGCCTACGAGAGCGGCGAGGGGTGCGACGGCGCACCTCGTTGAAGCAGATCTGTCCGGAGCGGTCGACGTCGAAGACGGTCATGAGCATCTTGACCGTGTCCTGGTCAAAGGGCGTCCAGTCGCCGTTGATGAGGGCCTGGGACAGCTCGGTGGGGTTGATGTGTCCCGACTGGTCGCGGTCGACCGAGACGAACCACTGCCTGCGGGGCGCGAGGGTTGGGACGACATGCAAGCGACGATGAGCGATGGAGGGTCAGCACAGGAGGGCAGCTGGGAGCAAGGGGGGTCGAGGCTGGATTCGCTCACCAGAGCTGGGGGTCGGCGCCCGGTGGCGGACCGGTGCGCGAGCTGAAGGCCTGAGGGCGTCCGTAGCCACCGGGCGGCTGCTGCTGCTGCTGCTGCGCGCCGCCGTAGCCGCCCTGGCCGTAGCCTCCGCCGCCCTGGTGCTGCTGGGGAGGGGCGCCTCCATATCCGGACTGAGGGGGAGCACCGTATCCGCCTGCGCCTGCGCCTGGGCCCGCGCCTGCGTAGCCTCCTGCGCCGTAAGCTGCGCCGCCCTGCTGCTGCGGTGGCTGGCCGTACCCGCCTCCCTGCTGAGGGGGCGGCGCGCCGTAGCCGCCTACGAGCAGATGGACGAAAGGTGGTGGTGTCGTCGGAGAGGGATCCGGTGCGAAGCAAAACGGGTCAGGGCAGAGGTTCTTGGCTCAAGCTAAATGGCAACTGGTCGCGGCATTGTTGCGGACCGGGCCGCTGCCGATGCGGGCTGGGCCGACGCCGACGCGGTCGACTCACCTCCGTAGCCTCCTCCCCCGCCGCCGCCGTACGAGTACTGCTGGGACATGGGTGCTTGGTGCTTGGTGCTTGGTGCTTGGTGCTTGGTGGTTGCGTGAGAGCTGACGGGTGAGGGTCTGTGCCGAGCCTGCCTGGGGTGAGTTGGCGGTTGGTCGATGGTGGTGGTGGTGGTGGTGGTGTTGGGCGGGAGCCGTAGCCGGCCGCCGACCGACGTCTGGCCGGCCTGGCGTGCCTGCACTGCGTCATTGGAGGCAGCTCGGCACCGCGCGCACGTCCAAGCCCGCCCCGCCTGACCGGCCTGGGCTGGCCTGGCCGTGCTTCCCTCCACAATTTGGAAGGCCAGGCGGAGGGGAGCGGTGGCCAGGCCAGGCAAAAGGGTGCGCGCGTCATGCAGGTGGGGCCAGGCCAGGCAGGCCTGCCCGCCTGTCCTCCGCACTCGGCGATGCCGGAGCGTAGCCTGGGCTTGTGGGTCACCGCCGACATCGAAGCGGCGCACCGCCTCCTCGGCCTCCCCAGCCCTGGTGGTAGCGTCCTCCTAGCTGAGCACCACCATCCACCATCCACCGTCCACCATCTAACAGCATAACGAGGATTCCAGCAGCCCATCCAGGACCCCAAGCCGCCTCGACCTTGTCCCGCTCCCGGAACGCACTCGGCCAGCTCCTCTGTCCGACCACAAAACCACGACCGACAGCCACACCGCCCCTCACGACCACGTCCCCATCCACATCCACCGCCATGGCCGGCTCGCCGACGCCTCGTGCCAGACGGCAGGCGGATGGCGACCAAGAGCGACAGCCCCTCGTCGCCGCCCAGCGTGACCACCACAGCGGCCGCTACGATGCCATCGACCAGCAGCCGCAGCCAGCTCACCGCGCCACTCTACCCAAGTCGCCCTACCTCTCCTTTTCGCTCCGACTCGGCTTCCTCGCCGGCTTCGTCCTCCTGCTGCTGTCGTGAGTTCCAGTGCCTTGTCGCCGCCAGCCAGCTTCGTCGGGACGACGACGACGATGACGCGACTGACCCACCCTGGAACCCCCCACCCGCACCATTCGCCCACACAGCACCATCCTCCTCCTGCTGCTGCTCGTCAACGTCTTTGTGCCCCTGCCCCTCCTGCTGCCCCCGCACCGCTCCCCCGCCGTCCTGCCCATCTGGTTCTGCGTCACCTCGATTCTCATCGTCGCACCCGGACTCCTCGTCTTTGAGCTGGCATCCCGCGCCACCCGCGCGCTCCACTTTGGCGTCCTCCTCCTCAACGTCACCTCGCTCGTCGTCGTTTGCGCCGTGCAAGAGCTGCGCACCACCTACGCCTGGCTCGGCATCGCCGCACTCTCCCTCTCGCTCCTCTCGGTGCTCTGGGCCCTCCTCACCTCGCACATCCTCGCCGCCATCCAGATCCCCTACACGATCCAGCCAGAGGGCGGCTTCCCCATCGTCGCCCACATCTCGGCGCAGCAGGTCCAGGGCAGGTGGTCGCGCGCCTTCAAGGTCATCTTTGCCGTCATCGGCACCGCCATCGTCGCGTCCACCATGGTCCTCCTCACCTTTAACATCTCGCTCGACGCCGCCGACGCTGGCTTCCGCCCGCTCGGCAACCTCACCCGCGTCAGCCTCACCTCGTCCCACGTCCGCCCCAGCCCCACGGATCCGCCGACAAAGGACCCGCTCCCCGTCTCGTTCCGCCTTCACCTCGCGTGCCAGAGCGCAGAGGACCTCGGCGGCGGCGTGGGGCTCGGTGCCCTGGCCAACGACGTTCTCAAGAAGCCGACCAACGACACCCTGGGCCGGCCCACGGCGCTGGTCATGACCGAGCGCGGCGTGGCAGGCGTCGTCGGCGCCGGCTGGGTCCGCGAGATGGTGGCGAGGTCCACGTTGCCGTCCGCATCAAAAAAGAAGGGCAAGGGCGGCGACGGCGACGGCGACGGCGACGACAACGACGATGGCCACCTCTCGCTCTCGCAGGTCTGCTTCTGGGACCGCATCGGCCATGGCCACACCGATTTCGTCAACCGCCCCTTTTCCATCCCCGTCCACACCGAGGCGCTGCACCAGGCGCTCGTCGCTGCGGGCCGGGTCGACGAGCCGCGGTCGTCGTCGTCGCCGTCGCCGTCGCCGTCGCCATCCCTCCCGCTGCCGCCCTTTAACGACGAGCTCGACGCGGCACAGGGCGGAAAGAAGAACAGCACCGCCCTGGGCCCGTTCATGCTGGTGGCCACGGGCTTCGGCAGTCTGTTCGCCCAGGACTTTGCCGCCACCTACCCGCACCTCGTCCACTCGATGCTGCTCATCGACGCCGAGACGCCCGCGTCGTGGTACACGGATGCGGTGCCGCTGTCGTCGGGGCTCCGCGCCGGGTTCGCCGCGCCGTACCACGGCTACTTTGGCAGCCTGTACAGCGACCTGCTGCCGATGCTCGTCGAGCCGCTGGGCGTGACCCGGCTGATTGGCCTGCTGCGCGGACGCACCGTGGCCGATCGCATCCTGGCTCCGGGCTACCACGGCGGAGCACACCGCTCCGACCCGGCGGGCGGAGGATGGCGGATCCGCGGCGCCGGCGGGGCCAACAGCCGCCTGCTGACGGCGTCGTGGTACGAGCGCCTGGACGCCAACATGGGCCCGTCGTCGACCAACTTCCACCACCTCAACCAGTCGAGCCACGCCGAGGCGTGGAACAAGACGCTGGCGACCAAGCCCGTCGCGGTGCTCAGCAGCTTCTGGAAGATCCACCGCGACGTCGACGGGTGGGGCGCCATCCAGCGCGGCCTCGTCGGCACCGCCAAGGCGGGCGGCAACCTCGTCGGGTGGTGGAGGGTCGGGGAGCGCGAGGGCAAGAGGCCAGGCGGCGACCAGGGCGCCGCTGAAGGGCTGTGCGCCACGCAGCTCGGGAGGGTGTTTTGCCAAGAGGCCGTACGGAAGCTGCTTGCCGCGGGCGACCTCGCGGCAGGGGCGGCGTCGTGAGCTGCCATGCCATCGGTGTGCAATGCATGCACGGTGGCGATTGGATGCGATTGGGCGTCTTCTATAGGCGATGGTCTGTTCTTATTGTTATGAACCCCCCTTGTCTCTTTTCCAGCGCCTCAGACTCTCTCTCTCTCTCTCCGTCTCCCCTCCCCCTCTTCTCTTTCTCCACCTCAAGGTTCATCTTGTGCTTGCCGGCTCGCTTGCTGCCGGCGGCACTACTCTGCAACGATCCTGCTCTCCCGATTCCTCAGAAGGCAGTACTCGCCATAGACATTGGCGGTACCCCAGTTGACCGGAAGCCAGAGTGCGCGGTGGAGTGCGGCGGCAGCGTTGGAGAGGAGGCGGGTGATCGCGCCGGCGTTGTCGGAAAGGACGGGTCGGGACCATTCGGCGTCGAGGAAAGGTTTGCAGAGAATCCGGTCCCACTGCGCCTCGTCGATGGCGTACCTCGGTTCTAGGGCCGGTGGGACGATGGTAGGGGAGAGGTAGCGGTGCGGGTGGTCGAGGTCGATCAGGTAGTCGCACGTCGACACCGACACGAACCGGTCGCGCTCCTGCCGGTTAAACTCGTTGAATCCGGGCGCATCCTCGCCATCGTGGCGCGTAGTGGCGCCGTAGGGCCAGAGCGTGGATCCAAACGTGGCATCGAGCGCTGCGACGATACCGTCCTTGGCGCCAGCGCCAGCGCCAGCGCCACCGGACGACGACGACGACGACGATGACGCCGTCTGAAAGTGCCGCGGGAGGATGCCCTTGAACTCGCTCTCGACAAAGTCGACCTCGACGCCAAAGGGTACGAGGAAGTGCGAGGGGAAGCGGTGCCACTCCTTTGCGTAGCACAGGCGGAGCGGGCGCGGCAGGTCGCGCAGCGGCTCGAGCGAGATCGACAGGTCCTGGCTCTTGCCGGCGTTTTCGGCGCCCTTGCCGCGCTCGTTGTACTCGCGCTCCTCTGGCGTCGCCACGGCGGGCAGGCCCTTTGCGAGGCGCGCGCGCACGTCTTCGTTGAGCGTCTGCGGGAAGACGGCGGCGACGACGCGCGGCAGCTCATAGCCCTCGAGGTGGAAGAGGACGTCGAGGGGCGCGTGGAAGTGGGCCATCTGCCCGACGGTGCGCAGCACGCCGAGCACGACGGTGGCGCCGAGGAGCGCGGCCGTCGTCGAGGTGAAGAGCTTGGAGCGCGACGCGCGGTAGGGCGACTTTGTGTAGCGGACGAAGCCGACCTCGAGCAGCGAGCGGACCAGGTAGAGGGACACGGCGGCGTTCATGCACAGCAGCGGGTAGGCCGGGTACATGAAGCGCTCCTCCTTGTGCGGCTGGACCGAGAGCAGCCCGAACCAGAGGTAGAAGGGTGCGATGCGGAGCGCGTTGAGCGTCAGCAGGCTGCTGGGCTCGGGCTTGGTGGCGTGGCCCTTGGCGCCGGACGAGGCCGCGGCCGATCCGGGCTGACCCGGCTGGTCGAGGGGCCGCTGCAGGCGTCGCGGGTCGTAGACGGCCGTCAAGGCCAGCAGCGGTGCGGCCAGCAGGGCGAGCGGGAAGACGACGTTGAAGTTGAGCAGCAGGTTGGCAAAGTAGTAGCTGGCGGGCTCGGTGCCGTAGAGCTCCGGGCCGGCGCCACGGGCGGCGGAGAGCAGGTTGTAGCGGATAATGTTGAGCGGGACGAGCACGGACCGGCCGTAGGCGAGCGAGTCGATGGTCCACAAAGGGATGGCGATCAGCGACGCCAGCAGCGATGCGCCGGCAAACGTCGACCAGCGGGCCGAGAGCCAGGTAGTGGCGCGGTTGTCGGGCACGACGTCGTCGCCGCGGCAGAGGAGCTGCTCGACGACAAAGGGCGCGGCGAGGACGATGGCAAAGGGCCAGCCGACGATGGCGCCGGCGGCAAACGAGGCGACGGCGCCAATGAGGCGGAGGGGCTGGAAGGGGCGCTGGTAGGGCGTCGCGAGGACCGAGGGGTCGGTCGAGGCGAGCCTGGCCGGGTGGAGCCAGAACGAGTAGGCGAGCATGGTGGCGTACATGGCGAACGACGAGGGGAGGAGGGCGGTGGAGGCCTCAAACATGCCCGGGCTGACGGCGAGGATGACGAGGAGGTACCTGCCGATGCGGGAGTTGAAGGTGTCTGCGACGGCCTTGTAGAAGCGGGCCTCGATGAGGGTCGAGGTGACTGCGAGGAGGATGCGGATCGAGAAAAAGACCTGGCGCTTTCCGACGCCGAGGGCGGCGAGCGCGCGGGCGAGGGGCACGTACTGGACGAGGTAGGCCCAGGAGCGGATGGCGAAGCGGGGCGAGTACTCCCAGGTCTGGAAGGGCGACTGCGGCCAAGCGGCGGCGGCGGCGGCAGATGCGGCAGAGGACGACGACGACGACGACGACGACGACGACGATGGCGGGTAGACAAGCAGATGTAGAGGTTCCCAGTAGTTGTACGCCTCGTCGCAGTCGTTTATGATCGAGTACATGGCGGAGGCGACGCGGATGATGAGGAGGACGCGTAGGGCGGCATTGAAGGCGGGCGACCAGGCGGGCTTTTGGTGGAGCTTGTTGTAGTCCTGGAGGAGGGCGTTTCTGCGGTTGATGAGGGCGGCTGCCGAGATGGCATCCTGCCTTTTTGTGTGGGCGGCGACGTCGGGGTTGCCCTGCCTGTTGAAGCGCAGGCTCTGGTTCTTGGGCACGAATTGGGACTGCATGGCGGGAAGGGCGCGTGGTGCGCAGAGGCGGCGGGCGACGAAGACGAGGTATGTAGCAGGCGGGCGTGTGGATAAAGGAGCGTCGAGGATAAGATGGGGATCTAAAGGGCCAGGATGGGCGCCCGTGGTGGAAGAAGGAGGCAACGGCGAGATGGCGACGACGGCGATGGCGATGCACCGCTGGTCGGGGTCCAGGCGAGGCAGGGCGGGCAAGGAAGAAGAAGATCTTGGGTTGGCCTGCCCTCTCCTGGCCGCATTGAGAGCACCGAGGGTCGAGTGGAGAAATTGCGGCGGACCCCGTGCGCGGCCTGGCTTGGCCTGCAATGCTGGGCGGCAGGCTGGGATGGCAGGCTAGGCGGCAGGCTGGGCGCATTCGACGTGCGGAGCCGAAGACGTCAGATGGGGGGCGGCCAGGACGCGCGCGCAGGCAGGGCAGGCCTGGCCAGGCCCGACCCAGGAGGCTGGCTGGCTGGCTGGCATGGCCCTGTCAAGCCAGACAGACGAGGGCAGGCCAGGGCAGGGCAGGCCAGGGCAGGGCAGAAGAAGCGAAAAATTGACGCTGGACCTTTCGCCCGCCTGCAGAAGATTTCTCGACGCAGCCTGGCCAGGCAGGCAGCCACGCCAGCCCCGGGTCCGCTCGACTCTCTGTGGCCGGCGCGAGCGAGGGTGCAGGCACTGCGTGGGCCACGAGCGGCCTGGCCCTGGCCTGGCGTGCTGCGGGTGGGTGGCTGGGTGGGTGGCTTTGTGCGCCGCTCCCCCTCGCCGCCGCCTGCCGATCTCGTATCGAGCAGCACCAGCCGCCGTCCTTCTCCCCACCCGTCTCCACACTCCAACACCCTCGTCCAACGAGATCCCAACACCTTCCAACCACCACCCTTCTTCCTCTTCTCGTCTCAAACGAGACGCACCCCGATTCCAGCCTTTGCCCAGCATGCGTACGTGCCAGTGGCGAAAAAGGATCGCACATTTACCACCCGACCCATCCCGACAAGCTCCACCTGCCGGCACCTTGTCTCGACGGCCTTGGCACCAACACCTTGCTCACCTAGTCCCATCCCCTCATCTCCTATCTGCCTCCCTGCCCGTCGCTCCCTTTGCCATGCCCCTTGCGCAGCGCCCAAAAAGAACCAGAAGATGTCGCTCAACGACTTCCTTGCCGACGACTGTGCGTCCCATCAGCCCGCGCCCGCGCCCTCGCCCCACGTCGTGACGATGCTACACCGACCGCGACTGCGACTGACTCCAAGGCGTCCCTTGTACCCACTGACTACTGCCCTCCTCCAGCCACCGGCAAGACGTCGTGGGCCGACGAGATGGACGACTTCCCCACGGCCTGTGCGTAGATCCCTAACCCCGCCTTGCAACACCGCACCGCAACGGCCCAAGAGCCGCCCAGCTGACCTCTGCCATCTTCTCCTGTTTCGCATCGCCTCGCCTCACCGCCCTTTGCAGCCATCCCGCGCGAGTCGAGCTACCGCCGTGGCGGCGACTTCCTCAGCTCGGTCCCTGACCGCGCCGACCGCGACCGCATGGGTCCCTCGTCCTACGACCGCCCCGAGCGCAGCTACCCGCCTCGCGAGGAGCTGCCCCTCCCCACCAAGCCCCCGTTCACCGCCTTTGTCGGAAACCTCTCGTACGACGTGACCGAGGCCGAGATTGAGGACTTCTTCACCCCGGCAAAGGTGCGTCTCCGTCGCCTTCTGGCGGCCTCGCTCGAGTAACTGTCGGCGCGCCCCGCTGACCCAGGACTCCTTCGCTGCCTCGCTCTCCGCTCCTGACTCCCGGTCGGGAATCGTCTGGCGCCCCACAGGTCGTCAGCGTCCGCATCGTCATGTCCCACGACGGCAGGCCCAAGGGCTTCGGATACGCCGAGTTCGAGACCCTCGATGGCCTCAAGTCGGCCCTCGACAGGAACGGCTCCCCGCTCGCCAACCGCAGCGTCAAGATTGGCGTCGCCGAGGCCCGTGAGTAACGCCTCGGAGCGCCCATGGCATCACCGCCGTCCATTTGGCTGCGCCCATGACGCATGCACTGACCTTTGCCGTCGATTCTGTCTTTGCAACCTTGCCTTGCCCTGCCTTGCCACGCCCCGCCCGCCTGCAGCAAAGAGCGGCGAGAGGTCCATGGCCGCCCCCAGCATGGCCGACGACGCCAACCAGTGGCGCAGGTCGGCTCCGCTGCCCCCGGCCAACGACGCGCCGCCGCGTGGAGCCTACGGCGGCCGCTCCGACCGACCGAGCTTCGGTGCTCGCCCCGAGGGCGCGCCCAGCGGCTTTGACAACATGGACGCGGCCGGCGGCGCTCGCAGCGGCTTCGGCAGCAAGTTCCAGCCCTCGGCGCCCCTGCGCGACGGACCGCCGCC